GAGGGTGGGAAAAAACACTACACACAGACACACAGAATGCATGAGTGATTCCCTTTGCTGTGCTTCTAATTGTGTTTTTCTCTGCAGCCCAGAGCCCTTCAGTAGCAGAGACTTTGCACCCAGCCTTCACAGGAGTTCAGCAGTATGCAGGTACCAGCTTCCCTTGTCTCCCTCAGGCCCTTGTGTGGCTGACCAGATCCTCAGGTAAATGGTTTCTTCTGTCTCCTTGGGCTACAGCTGTGTATCCAACCACCACCATCACCCCCATTGCACAGAGCATCCCTCAGCAGCCTCCCATCCTGCAGCAGCAGCAGCGAGAAGGTGAGGAGCAGAGTGGGAATAGGGGTGTCCAGTGGCATGGGTGGGATTTGTGGAGCTCATCTTCTGCACAATAGAGCCCATGGAGAGGAGATAGCACTGATTTTTGTCCACTGATCTTTAATGCTGGGGCTGGGGTATGGAAACCAGCACATGTCTGCAGTGAGTGGGCTGGGAAGGATCACAGGATGTTTCCTGACCTCGTGTCTGGCCAGATGCTGCCAGGTGCAGATGGGCAGTAGGCTCTGGAACACCTTTCACGCCAAAGGGGATGAGAGTCAGCACCTTCCCTATGCAAAGAGCACCTTCCCAGGGGCAAAGAGCACTCATCCCCTCTTTGCTGGTGCCAGACCCACAGTGGAACCAGCCAAACCAGCCTCTCCAACGTGCTCTCCTCTCTTTTCAGCTTTCATAGCCTCCTGAATTTATTTTCAACTTACTTCAAAACTGGCTTGAATAGAATTTGGAGGCAAAGGCATTCTCTCTCTGCACCTGATGGGTAGAGCAAGTGTCAGCAAGGGAGCAGCTTCTTGTGCTCCTGAGGAGTAAGTGAAGGAGTGGACAGGACCAGGTCAGCCCATAAACTGGATGTGTGGCAGTCCAGGAGGTTTCCAGTTAAGGCTGTGGCTTCTGGACTGAAGGAGATGCTTCAGGGAGTGCTACAGCAGCAGCTTTCACACAGCAGTGTCTGCCACTCTCCTAGGACTGGGACAGCTGTGAGCTCTCACCTCAGCTGATTTCCTTCCAGCAAAACATCACCCAGACACTCACAGAGTTGTCTACGTCCAGCACCCTGTGTAGGAACTAGGCAAGCTTTGAAAGACAATCTGCTCTCCAGAAACTCTAGTTTTGTATAGAGTCTCCCAGTAGCTGTTTGAGAGCCCTCAGATCCCTTGATGGACCAGTGACAGGGACAAGCAAGGGGAGGCAGAGCAGAAGGAGGCAGTGCTAGGGCTCTCCTCCAGTGCTGTGCTGTGAGTTGAGCCCATTTCTCTTCCCCTGCCCTTTGGGGGCTTTCTGTTTTGTCCTTCTCCATCACCCCCATACCTGCAGGTCCTGAAGGCTGCAATCTCTTCATCTACCATCTCCCCCAGGAGTTTGGAGACAACGAGCTGATGCAGATGTTCCTGCCCTTTGGCAATATCATCTCCTCAAAGGTGTTCATGGATCGTGCCACCAACCAGAGCAAGTGTTTTGGTAAGTGCAGGCAAGGGAAGCATGATCAATAATAGTGACACTGATAGTGGGCATGGCACCAACAGTGCCATTGTCATCCATCCTGTGTCCTTCCTTCAGGTTTTGTGAGCTTTGACAACCCCTCCAGTGCACAGACTGCTATCCAGGCCATGAATGGCTTCCAGATTGGCATGAAACGCTTGAAGGTCCAGTTAAAACGGCCCAAGGATGCCAACCATCCCTACTGACAGCAGTGAGCACGCAGGAGTCACTTCTGCAGCACAGGTAAACTGCCCCAGCAGGGCACAGCTCTGGTCAGGTCCAGCTGCTCCCTGCAGACTAGGAGGCCAGGAGTGGAGGCAGTGACACAGCTGGTGGGGCAGAGACTTCACCTGAGCTGGGCGGCCAGAGCAGACCTGGAGATGATGGCCAGGTTCAACCATCAACAGGCAAATCTGTGGCAATGGGGCAAACCCAAAGCCAAGCCAGAGAGTCAAGATCAGGGTCAGGTCTGGTGAAGGTGAACAGGGTCAGACAGAGTCCAGATTCCAGGCAGGTCTATAATGACAACAATAAATATTGAGGTGGGAAGCCAGTCCAGGGGTTAGAGCGCAGGTAGTGAGATCCATGGACAGGACAGGTGGCACTTGCACACTGTGTATCAGACAAAGGCTGATGGCACAGAGCTGTAAGGAGACTCCTGGAGCTGTGGGCAGAGTGTGGACAGACAGTGCAGGTGTCTGGTCAAGTTCATCAAGGCCTGTGAGTGCCCTCAGGGCCCTGACAGGCAGACGGTTCCAGTGGCCTGTTTGTCATCCAAGGAAGGTTTTACTCTGCTGTCCGGCTGTTCCCAAAAGGCTTTTGACTGCCTATAAAGGTATTAAACCCCTGTAGTTTTCAGCTGTTACATGGGCCCAGAAGTTAGTCTGCAAACAATGCTTTCTGGGGTAAGAAGAGACAATCCCACGATTCACAGGGTTCACAGAAAAGCAGAGAAGAGGTGAGACCCTTGAAGGGCTGCTGTCCAAGAGGCAGCTGCTGCCAGCCTACAGATGGGGAGGAGGGCTGATCTGATTTGGGTCAGAGTCCTCCATGTTTAAGCAGCAGCAGCTCAAAGCCTGAGGTTTGCACAGATGTCTTCCTAACCTCCCAATTCCCTCCCTCCTCAATTTCTGTTCAGGTGAAGGGAAAGTCCAGAGGAAGAATTTCTGCTTCAGGTTGATTTTCAGAGAGGCCAGTAAATTTATCGACTCTTTTGACACCACTCCTTTCCTTCCTCGGCTTCCCACCTTACCCACCCCATCTTCCTCCTCCCCTCCTCTCCAAGACATGCAATTAAAGAGAAGGCTCAATATCTGCCCAGGAGGAAGATTCTTGCCACGCCTGGACTCGCATATTTGCTGCTAACGTGGTGCAAAGCAAAGGGACCAGCAAACCAGCAGCCCCTGGGACACAGAGCTCTTCCTCTCGGGGTGTGGCTGGAGAACATGGACCAAGCAAACCCATGGTGTGTCTCTAGGTTACTGCAGTGATGTGTGGAAATTTACTTCCGTCCCTCCCTCCCTCCTGCTCTGTTTCTGGCCCTTTCATAGATAACTATAAATATATACAGTCTCTATTTTTTTTTTAAACTAGCTCACAGGACCAAACTTTTCCATTCAGAGACTGATTGCTTGCAAGAGGTATTGGAAATTAGGGGTTTGCCTTTGCAACAGTGTCTTCTCAGCACGCACTGCAGATAGGCCTGAACGTTTTGGAGAGAGGGAGCTGGGGGTGGGTTGGGGAGAGAGAGAGAGCGAGCACATCTCTGCTCAACGCGAGCAAGAAGAAGGAGAAATACATTCCTCCAGGATTAGGACACAGTCAGCTGCTCAGCTTGAGTCACTCATCCACCTTAGCACCAGCCTGGTTTAGGATCTGGAGAGCTCTGTCTTACCTTTCCAAGGGCTTCTGCAGACAAAGCTCCTGGGATGTGGTGCCAGCCCCTACCCTGAGCACTCCGTGATTAGGCTGAAAGCACAGGAAACCAGTCCCCTTACTTAGAGGAACTGCACTGCCTCCCCACACATGGCACAGATCCGTGTTTCACAGCTCTCCATGGCAACTGCGTTTTCTTGATGAAGGCAGGAGATGAGGGAGTGTGAGCAGATGCAATCTCCAGCGCAGCTAGAGAAGGCTCCCAGGGGCTGCACACTGCCTCCCTGTGTTGGATACCAGCACTGGAGAGTGGGCAGTTCTCCTTGCAGATGACACAGGACATTTGCTCCCTCTGAATTCAGCAGGAGGACTCTCCTCGTGCGCCCGCTGCAAAGCTTTCCCCAGCAGATGCAAGGAAAATAGAAAGAAAGAGGGTTCCATTCTGGAATTTTCCCCCTCAGCACCCCCTCCAAGAGACAGATTATACATTATGCAGCATATACATATATATATACACATATATATGTGTAGGGACAGCTCTATACACTATATACACAAACTCTAAAGCACAGAATGTAGTTCAGAACTGGATTTAAAAAAGATCCCCTGGGAGTGGGGGATGCGTGTCATCCTGACAAGGCACATCCCTTGAACAGTTTGGAACAGTCTCTTCGAGTTTCTACAAAAGTAAGGAAAGGAAAGCAAGGCAGAACAGACCAACAAACCCCAGAGTGATTAGGAATGAACGATTTCAATATTCCAGAGTTTGATAAGGTACCACAAACATTGGAGTGTGTGTGAGGGTGTGTGAGCACATTGAAATAGGGACAAGAGAGTTGGTGGGGCAAAGTTGGTGCAATTGATACTGAAGTGAGCTATGGGGATTTTGGAGATTCTCGGCCAACTCTCATTCTCCTCCAGTTTGCCCTTTGTTCAGGTGTTTGTGGCACAGTCCTTCAAGTACCTTCAGATCTCCTCAACCACCCTTCTGTGTCTGACGCTGAGAGTTTATGAGAGGTGAATGAAGCTGTGAGAGTCTGTGTGTTTCTATAGTCCATGTTTACTTATTGTAAATACCATTTTTATACTTAACATCTATTATGTATGTGATTTGTATAATGTACTTTATTTCTGCTACAAGTAATTTCATGAAGTTTAAACTTAGTCTAATTTTGAACAAAACAAAAAAAAAAAGAAAAAATATGAACAAATGCAAAATGGGAAAAAAAGGACTTTGGGAATCCTAGGTCAAGCTGGTTTAAAACAAGCATTTACAGTTTCTTCCATCACAGTTACTGATGTGACTGTACAATGTTACAGGTGCGATACAAGCTTTGTCAATGTCAAATTCCTCACTCTGGTCAAAAAAAAAATCCTAAATTTATTTAATAAAAGTTTTACTTGCTAAGTAACTGGGGCTCTCCTTCATGTTGTTTGTTGCACCTGCTTTTAGGTAATGCTTACACTTGAAGACATTGCCAAAGCCCTGGGCTAATCTAACAGGTCACATGGGGTCAGCAAACAGACCTTGGCCCACAGAATCCAGGGGACCAATATTTCTTCACAGAGGAAGCATCAACACATACCACCAACACATTAAAAACTTGTTTAATATAAAATAGAGATAAAAATTCTACTTAGAGGAAGCAAGGGGAATCTAAAATGAAGTAGTGGAGGAGGATGTCCCCGGAATGTACAGCCATTCCAGGACATCCTGTGCAGACAGACAGGGAGGGGTTAAAGCTGGGGCTGAGCAAAGGCTGGATGCAGTCAAAGGAGACGGGTGAGGCTGAAGGAGGAGGGGAGATGGGAGGAGGGCTAAGGCAGAGTGAACAACGGGAAAGGTCTCTGACTGATGGGTAGCAGCAGCAGAACCATGGCTGAAGCATGATTACAGACCATGAGTCTGTTAGGAAAAGGGGACTTTGCCACCACTGCTGCCCTGCTCCTGCTTGACACCAGTGGTTGAGAGGGATGCTTAGTGGGACGGCAGGAATGTGATTAGAAGGGCTATAGGATGAGACCGGGCACCCCTCAGGGACTGCTGCAGTTATAGAAAGTCCGTAGCACGCTGTTCCCGCTGCTGGGGAACAGAGCCCAGAGGCAGCGGAGCTGCTGCAGCCACCGCGGGTAGAAAATCCCGTGCGCCCGGGTGGCCCCGCCCCGGACGATGGCGAGGAGCGGGGAGGCTGAGCTGCACTTTGCCCCTGCAAGGCAACGGGCACAGGGTCGCTCCAAGCCAGGCAGCCCCTGCTGGGGTTCGAGCTGGGCACGCTGACCCCACAGGGCTCTGCCTGCTCCCGTTCCATAATGAACAACCCCTGTGGTGTGCCCAGGCAGGTTCACTCTCCCCAGGCAGATGCACACACCCTCTTGGAGAGAGCTGCTGTGCATACTTTGGCATGTTTTCTAGAAGAGATGCATTCCTGCGGAGAAACACATACCTGGTGCACTCCAATGCTGACTCAGTATCAATCAGGCCCAGGATGCACAGTGTGACAGACACATCTTTCTTCTGCATGATGAGCTCATGACACAGTGAACTGAAAAATCCATCCAGTGCAAACTTGGTGGCAGAGTAAGTGGTGAATGGAGTGGGCATTTTCCCTGGAAAGGGAAAAGAAAGAATGGAAAACCCCAGGAAACTGGGTGTAAGGAGGATCCATGGTGAGGGAATCTGGGAGAAGATGCAGGCTTTGTCATACAGTATCAGCTCATGTTCTGTTCAGGTGAGTCTCCCTTTATGTAAGTATATTAGAATACTATTACTATATTATTATTTATTATAATATTATTATATACTATTAAAAGCACAGTTTGAAAATGTATTTAGGAGTTGAACAATAGAGAAATACGAACAGTACTGGGAATAATTTTTTCCACAAGGCCAAGTAATTTTTTCTACTTACTCCAGGCAAAATCACCAACCTGTGAGGGAAGAAACAACCACCAGAGCACCTCTGTTCTTCTCCAGGGTGGGAAGAGCTGCTGTTGCAAGAGCCACGTAACTAAAAAAATTCACCTGGAATAATAAATGTAGACATTTATTATAAAGAAGCAAGAGGGTTTGGAAGCGTGAGCCAAGCAAGTCAGTAGAGTGATCAGAAATGGAAATGAGCATGGTTTGGAATTGCCTTCTCAAACATCAAATGAGAAAAATCATCTCTATAGATGGGGACAAGCATTGCATCCATGAGTCTTTCAGATTCCAGAAGAAGATCCAGAGCAAAGGTTATGCCTGGGCTTTAACATGCAGATTTCCTGACAAGATAAAATTAGCTGTCCCTGCTTTTTCTTTATGCTATTCTTTGCTCTGCAATCCCTACCAAAGACACCACTTTCAGTTTGCTACGTTTCTTGTAAGTTTCCTTGTAAGCTTCTCTTGACTGAGCTCAGACTACAATGAGGCACAAAATTCAGCATCTCTTCAGAGCTTGACTGCTCTCAAGAATTTCTTACCTATGTTCCTATGTTCCCACACTCTAGCAAAAAGACTCCTTCCAAAATGAAATAGAAACTAGTATGACCCACCTGAATGAAGAAGACTGAATCAAGAAAACAGCTCTTCATTTCCATGGCCCCAAAACCTGGCACCAGAGTGATTCTACAGGAAAACTCTAAATCTGTTAACAGAGACTCAAATGGCAGACACCATTTCAAACAACTTTGTGTTCTGCAATTGTGTACATGCCATAGACTAGTAGGAAATGCTGGCTGCTGACTTAGAGACCTTCCTGAACTAAACACAACTGCCTGGAACTACCCATCAATCCCAAACTCGGCTAAAGGGAGGTAAGAAGGACAGAAGGAAGAAGTCTGAAGTTCTTCCCGAACATTCCTCTTCACAAATGTACAACATCTGAGCAAAACACCTCTCTAGCAACAAAGCCTCCAAACTGCTTGTCTCAACCACTGCCACAGATGTGGATTTGCCTTGGAGCTTCCCAAAGCTGCTGCAGGAAAAGCCAGGCTCACCCAGTTCCAGGTGAGCTGGGCAGCCTCACCGGCATGAGCCAGCAGGTGTATTCCACATCCCCAGCCCACTCCTGGAAGCAGTTGGTGCTGGCGTGGTTCAACACGAGGTAGTCCAGGCCCCCTTGGACAGCAGAAAAAGCAGTCACACAGTCACACAAGGGGCCCATCCCCTGACCATCAATCGGGGAGCTCAGAAATGCCAGGAGGGCTCAACCACTCCCTCAGAAGGCTGGAAGTGCTTTACCATGAAGACAGATTAAATATGCCCAACTGGGAGCAGCTTTGACTGCTCCTCAGGAATAGAACTGAAAGGAAAACTGATTTTAACAATAACTCCCTGAAATGATGTTTCAGCATGATTCAGGCTCAGAACTTAGTTCTGGTGGTACATCTACAACCTTAACACCTTTCTCAGTTGAAGGAACTGAAGCAGGAAGCTCCTAGAATAAGAATTGTACTTACACCTGAAAGCCAAAGAGATGCTCAGGATGCTTACCCAGCTTTTGGACAGCAAACTGAACCATCTTTTCAGGCTCTGAAGGGAAAGACATATCTGCAGCGATATAAAATATTTTCTTTGCTCCAAGTGTCAGGCATTTCTCCACTACCTTGAAAAAGAACACATCCCAAAGATTAAAATATTTGGAAAAAGATTAGGGGAAAAGGGCACCATAAAGCACATACTACAGTCAGTGAGAGTTAGTTCTGGACAGAGACACACTTTAATTTAAAATTTACTGCTGTTTGGGGCATGGAGAGCTCATTCTGCATCCAGACTTTGAATCTGCATCCTGCAAGGAGTTGCCTCTATTTAACTGTCTGCTTAAACGATCTACTTTGGGACAGGATCAAGATTCACTGAAAAAAACCCCAATCTTCTTCAGGAGAAATCTTCTGGAACAAGAGTTATGCTTTACATTAAGTTCTTCTCTTTTTTCCAGAATAACTGGAAAAGAATTCATGTTTCATAATTCCTTTGCTATGTTGAGTGTGTGAATGTGCCTGGCATTATTTTAGCTATTTGCTGAAATAATGCCTTCCAGTCATTAGGAACTATTATTACACTCACTGTCCCCAAGTCACCTTTTGCACCATTTCACAGTGAAGATCCTTCCTTGGAAGTCACACATCTCCACAATTAAAGAGTTAACCTTTCTAAATATTTTCCATTTCATAAAGATGGAATCTCATCTGTTGGAGTTAGTCAAAAAGCATTTAACCTATAAAAAGTCTTGAGTTTTTAACAAAACAGCTACAAATAGAACAATTTGGACTCTGAAAATCTGGAAAATATTGCACAAGAATTGTAGTTCATGGAGTATCTCAAATCGAAAAGGACCCATAAGGATCATCAAATCCAAATTCCTGCTCCTCACAGGATTCCCTCAAACCAAACTTTATCATTACGGATGTGGCTCAGATATTCCTTGAACTCTGACAGGCTTGGTGCCATGACCACTGCTCCCTGGGGAACAGGGAGTGATCACCCTCATAGTGGAGAACATTTTCCTAATGTCCAGCCTGAACTTTCCCTGATGCAGCTTCACACCATCCCCTCATATAAATAAATGTTCAGGCAGTTAAAAGCTCAGGCACTGTATTTGCATCTTCTTGTACAGGCCAACTTCTCTTCTGGGTTTATGCTTAACAGTTCTGAAGGAAAATCTATCATGCTGACAACGAATTTTTTTGTTGGCTTAGTAAAAGCCCAAATCTCTCATGTCTTCCCCCATACAAGGATGAGGTTCTTACCTTCTGCAGCACAGCTTCCCTTATGTCAGTCAACACAATTTCAGCCCCAAATCTGGCATAATGATATGCTATCTGCTCTCCAATCCCAGCACTGGCTCCAGTTATGAGAACACAGGCACCAGACAGGCTCTCTTTTTTATGGGAAAGAGAATAAAAGATACAGAAGTAAGTGAAGAAAGAGCAGACGAGCTGCCTTAAATACTAGCAGAGCTTTAAAGAAGAAAGATGCACCCACCTAATTGCTCAAAATTCCTGGTGCTTCTCCAAAACTAGAAGAGGCAGGACTGGTGATGCAATGACATGATGATGCCAGCTAGCTGTGTCACAGGGCCTAGCCTGGGTTGCTAGAACAAAATCTTTCAAGAACCAAGTTGTTTTTCACCTTCTGAGAAGCTGTACAACATAAACCAGGCTATGTGCTCTCTGCATATCATTTACTCATCAGTCTGGAGACACATCAGCCCTCTTGTGCCAGGCACTGCACACCTACAGAAATGGTTCTTGACACCAAGGAATTTACAACCAAAACATAAAAAGAGCAAGGCAGTAGCAAAGTGTCATTTTCCCCCCACAGAGACAACAGGATCCTTGCTCTTAGACCATTTTGTCTTCCTCTTTGTTTCAAGTATCTCTTTGTTTCAAGTTTCTCTTTGTTTCTGGGAATGAAACATTGCTTTGGGGCAACCAACTTTAGTAAGACTACGGGTAGGAATGAGACCATCAGTCAAATTTTGGAAATTAAACCTCTTCCCTTGTGTAACTTTTATTTCAGCTTGGTGAGCCTACCTGGGTTGAAGTCATCTTTCCAGAAGAAAGCTATGAGCCTAGCTACAGCCCCTGTAGCACAAAGCACTTTTCCAATTGGCTTCATATCCCTCCAAGCTGTGAGGAACAAAGTGAAGTCTTGAAGCTGAGCACTTCAGCCAAAATAATACTGTGTTCTCCTTCCTCTGATTCCTGGAGCCGCCCTGGGAGAGGCACGTAAAGGGTTTTGTAGAACCAAAGCCCGCCTGAAGGGTCTCTCCCCCGGGAAGGATCTTTCACCGGCAATTCCCGCAGCGCTCTGCATTCAGAGCCAGCCTCCACACACCGCCAGACCACAGGAGAGAAACCCCCCCGATCTTAGTGGCTAATCTTAGAGAACTCTTAATTCATGAAAGACTGATGACATCTGGCAGCAGTGACCCCAAAGCAGCCGGATCTCGGGAGGGAGGCGGCGGCAGCGCCCACAGGACGGAGCCTTGTCTGGCTAAGAGGAGCAGCGGGCTGAGCTGCTCCGCCACCGCGCTGCGACACAGCGCGACAAGACGGGCGGCGGGGACAGCGCCACAAAGGCGCAGGAGCCGCGCCCGGCCCCTCACACCCTCAGCCCTGTCCGGCCCC